GGTATCAGGCAAGTAAGCAAACGGAAAGGTGCTCCACAGGCGGGAAGTGCGGGAAAAGAAACTGTTGGAGTAGAAGTGACGGTTTCATTTAGCTATTTCAACAGTAATGTGAGTGGGGGGGGGCTAGATGCCAGTCTAGTAGCAGACTTAGATTCATGTAATCAGGGCACCAGTTAAAAAAAAAAAAACTCGTCAGAGCAGTTGCCATGAAAATATTTGTAGAAAAGACAGCGGTAAGCCACGCCACGTCTGTGGGAAAGTGACTGAGGTCGTGATTTCAGGTCAGGATCGTCTCCATTACAAATCCTTCTTAATGAAGTTGAATAGCAGGAATAACAGAACAGACATGGCAACGGTATTCAATGCTCGGATGAATGTTAGATTTGTAAATGTGAAAAATGGATTCTGACGAGAAAAATCTTCTGTCATGACACAGTGACCTAACTTTCTTTACAGCTATTATTATTCTTTATATGAAAATATATATATATATATCCAAAAATCAAGAAACGTTAAATTGACTTATCTGTTTAGACATCTCAAAAGTTTCGCGTCGAAACGTTCACCAGAGCTAAATGTTTGACAAATCTATTGAAATTACAGTCGGATTTCATAAACATACTTTTCCGGAACGAACAAATGAATTCTGCTAGCCTGAAAACAAAGATAAATTCTCTTAATTTTCACATATTTATTATTATTATTATTATTATTATTTCCTTCTATTGTATACACGTTTGCTTCCGAATCCCAACCAGAAACAAGATCACAAGTGGCTTTGTGACATTTTCCACTGATAATTTTTGTAAAAACAAAATAAAAAAACCTAAGATCACAGACATTTTACATAGATAAAGTTCTTCGTAATGAGTCAACTGTATTTTTTTGCATTTCTTTTAGGCATGGACTACAAGGAATCCCTTCAGTGTGTCATTTCCAATTAATCCGAGGGATTCAACTACAATTGGAATTATTGGTGTCCTCATGTGCCACAGTTTCGAGATTTACACTTCAAGATCCTTCTATTTTGATAGATTTTTGAAGAACTTCAGAGATATATTGCAGCCTGCAGGAACTGCCATGTTAATAAGGAGGCACAGTTTGGCTTTGCGGTCTCTAATCACGATGTCTTCAAAATGCATTAAAATCTGCAAGGGTTGTCATGTCAGTAAGAAAGCACATTCTGTTCTTGTGGTCTTTGAACACAATTCCTGGCCGATTAGCTTTGATTGTTCTGTCAGTGTGTATTGTAAAGTCACATAAAATTGCCATTATTATTATTTTCTTTGATTTCTGTTGTATGCACATTTCCTTCCGAGTCCCAACCAGAGACAAGATCACAAGTGGCTTTTTGACATTTCCCATTGCTCATTTTTGTAAAAAAAAACAAACAAACCGTAAGATCACACACTTTACATACATAAAGCTCTTCGAAACGTGTGAGTTGTACTTGTGAGTACAATTTTGTGTATTTCTGTAAGGCATGAGCTACAATGAATCTCTTAAATGAGTCAATCGGAACATTTTCCGATCAAACCGAATCCTCCAACTACAACTGAAATTATTGATGTTTTAACCCTGCACTACGTAACCACTGATGAGCACGGCCAAAGTATTGGCCGTGAAGAGGCTTATCTTGCCATCGTTTCTGCTTTTGGTACATTGCATTTTCTTTTGCTTTCTTTTTTTTATATTCTTTGCCGCTGCATGGTGCATTGTGGTTTATTTGCACTATTTCACCCACTTGAAATTGCCTTTTGAATTTGTTGGCTTCCTTTATTACTGAATAAAGTTTCTTAATTCTTTCAGGTTCTTTGAGGTAGATCATCATTCAGTCGTTTGTAGTTTCCAGTTATCTTTGAAGACTCGTGTGATTTTATAAGACAGTTCTAGTTGAACTAATCCTCTGCCTCCTTCGGATCTTTACGTATTCAGATGATCAACATCAGCCTTAGGATAGAGCATGTAGTGGCAAGTGAGAAGCTTTCTCGTTTTGAGATAGGTTGGTTATCATTATTATTATTATTATTATTACTATTATTATCATTATTATTATTATTAAAATACATATGTAAAAAGTTCCCCAAGTATTGAAAAAGATTTTTTTAGAAAATGTAAAATTTTGAAAACTTTTTCATCACAATTCTTAGACAATTGCATCTATTGCAATGCAGCAATTCCACTATAAAATCCTAACCAACAGCAACCTGGTCCATTTCAAAACAATGCCACATTCATTTAGATAGTTCTCTCAGTTCCCTGCGTTATTTTATTTTTTTATTTTTTCCTTGTCCTGTGATTTGTTAGTAAAGTCGCTTACTCGATCAGACAATTTCTTTTATTGACAATTATCAAATCAGGTTTACCCGCTAATACACAGGAGTTGATTAGGATTTCTTTGTCATAGTGTATAATTTTGTTTTCATATTCTCGAACAGTTTCTTACTTGTGCTGATATTACCTATTGACATAGACCAACCCAAATCCTTTGCAACATTCTAAGTTTGCTCTATGCTCTTTATTTGTTGCAACCCTAACGTCTATTTGATAAACATTTTGTGGTCACTTGCTATACCCAATTATATGATTTACAGGTTCATCGTCTTTCAAAACAAATCAATTACTTCTTTTTGGGGGTTTTATCTATATAGCTTTTATATAGCAAGTTGATGTGCATCTCTTTGTTTCAAATAGTTTTCAATATTTGTGCATAGATAAAAAGTCACACGTATTGTATAAATGTATTAAGTCCGACAATTATTTAATATATTTTCTGTTCATACGTTATATATTCATAGATACAATTTACTTGAGTAAATACTTTGATTTTTAAATAAATAGTATTAACTACATTTACCGGCCTGAATGTTCGAGAAATTTCGTAGAAAATATGCGTTCTCCGACAGAAATCCACCTGTGTCCTATCCGGGACCGTCACTTGATTTGACGTGCTATACCACTCAGTTACAGAGTAGCATCTTGTTAGCTAAGTTCACTCAAGCCGGTAAATGTAATTAATACTGTTTATTTAAAAAAACAGAGCATTTACTAAAATAAATTGTATCTATTAAAAAATAACGTATAAACAGAAAATATATTAAATATATGTATATGAAATATAGCATAAGCAGATAAAATGACTAATTTACAGTTGATTGTACAATCAACTCTAGGGAAATAAAATTGAAAAAAATGATTAATTTATTTATTTTATAATTATGTAATTTATATTATTTCAATTATTCATTATATTTAAATAAATAAAGGACAAAGGTGTGTTTGAAATTTCCTCTAACTCTGAACACACTTGCTCTACATAGACCTATTATACCATTTTGGAATCAGGATGATGTTGGGATTGAAAATCATCCCTTCATCTAGTGCTTGAACATCCAACATGGGGACTTGTGTACCGATGAGGAGGAACAGTTAAAAATTTAAATGTTAAAATAATTGAAGAGTATTAGTGATTTTAAATGTTTTTAATTTACATTGAGTTTAAAGTAACACAAAAAATGTGTAAATTTTTAAAATTGTTGTTTTAAATTCAAATTAAAATATCTCCCAAACTTTGCGAACTGAGGAAATCAATTTTATTTCTTCAAAATAACTGGAATCAGAGTGAAAGTGAGAGGTTTCCTGACGTGCCGTTTTGAATATCTGCAGAGATTGTGAGTTTAAGAACTCAATTCGTCTGAAGTTCCACGGAGTTTGTGATTTGATGAACTCAGTTTTCGGCCTGAATCTGAATTTCGACCCAAATCGGTATTTTGGCCTAAAAAAATTATCATTGCTGTTTACTAAGCTAGACCAGAGGTTCTTTTAGTTTTGGATCGGCCACAGGAGCTATTTCAAAAGTCCGCTAGTATTATATGACTATAATTATATAATGAAAGTGATGTGGCCCCAAAGTTGGGACCACGGAAGGAAAACACGGAACACGGATTAGAGGTAAGAAAGATATATTAAACAAAATGGTTACAAAGATAGTGTAAGTGTAAGCGGAGTTTACTATGTGCTAGTGTCCAATATTGGTAGTCGTACGCGACTGATGCTACGTTATTAGAATACTCTCTCTCTCTCTCTTTCCTCCTCTTCTCCTAGAGTGTTATATCGCATATTTTATATAGTCCTGAAAGAGTCCATGTTGTAGGTATGTTACGGTCTCACAACAGAAAGCAAAAGTAAGTTAGTCGATTTAAACATCAACAGAAATCAGACAATAATTGAAAAATATGATACTAAATTCTCGTTATTATGACTCCGGACAACACTCCGGAATGTTAAGATGAAATTCTTGCGGATTGAACAACAAGACTGATTGGACAACAAGACTTACTGACTTTTTTAGCTCCTTAAGTAGGTTAACCAACGAGAAGGGGGCCCCAGGGTCGTAGGGCCACCATAAGCCGGAGTAGAAGTAGAAACTTGGACAAGATAACCTAATGGAGCTCAACTGTCTGTGAATTGAGAGTTTTTCCTTCTCATAGACCGGTTGCCACCCAATCTGTCTTGCTATTTATCCATAGCTGGAGGAAGAAGAACAGGACTCTTTCCTTTCCCAAGTGTATTAGATTCCTCAATCCGATCCGCTATCCATTACTCCACCTTACGTCCACATCTGATTGGTTAGAAGTGCTGGTTTTTTGATTGGTTAAAATGTTTTAATTATTGATTGACTCGAGAAAAAAAAAAACAACGTCCAAATGCAGAATCTTGTAAACATTGAATTTAAGTTGTAAAGAATTTTTGGTCAAACTAACGTAGTCCGCCATATTCTAGTACATTTCCAGCGCCTTCTAAAGTGTTTTGTCGATCCCAGTAATAATAAATTATTTATTTTGAAATTTTGCTCTTTTCGATTTATTAACTTAGTTTTTTTTTCGGTTGAAACGTCGAGAAAAGAGGAAAAACTGTTCCTTTTGTGTTAGGATTTGTGAATATGCTTTACTGTCAACAACAAAACATAAGATTTATCAGTTATTCGTAACACTCCTTACAAGAAGGGTAACCACAAACCAAACCTCAAGAAACAAAACCTTCCTTAATTTTAAGGTGTGCATGAGAGAGAGAGAGAGAGAGAGAGAGAGAGAGAGAGAGAGAGAGAGAGCGGGTGGTGTGGATGGAAGGAGAAAAAAGAGGGGGGACATTTAGAAAGCGACTGTAAAAGAGAAAGAAAATGTTTTAAATTATGATTACGTAAACTGATAAGTTCTCTTGTCAAAACCAATCTTTTCATCAACCTTTTCCTTACTTACCTATATGTCTACCGATCGATTCCCGTCTGTGCATATCTATCTATCTATCTATCTATCTATCTATCTATCTATCTATCAGATTGTCTCTCTAACAGTGTCTACCTATCTATCTATCCATCTATCAGGCTGTTTCTCTAACAGTATCTATCTATCTATCTATCTATCTATCTATCTATCTATCTATGTATCTCATTTTTATGCTTATCTCTCTAAATTTTTGCATATCTATGTGCATGTTTATCTATATATCTATTTATTTAACTATCTATGTCAATCTAACTCTCCCATTCCCTCTGCTTCTCTCTCGTCCTCTTTTCTATTGTTAGTCTTGTCGCATTCTCTGTGACTGATGATTTTCATCCAATCATTTTTAAAGTAAAAGAAAGTTATATTTGATAATAATATTACATCCATATATTTGAAATCATTATATCTCTTTCGCTTTCTCGGTGTCTGGGACGTCTCTAATAAAACAGTTGACTTTCCCCTCTAATCTGGAATCAATAGTTTCCGCATTCGATCAATATTACTTTCTGTGCGCCTCTCAATCTCATTATAAACGTCTATATAACTATTTAAGGTTTCATTAATATAACTTTTAATCAGGTCAGATAAACTCTTTGTATTCGTAACCCTCATCTACTTGATTTACGATGGTTTTTCTATTTCATTTGTATCGGTAAAATTATGTTCTTGTTTATACTATCAATATTAGCTACCCATCTATCTATATATATCTTTCAGTCTGTACATATCTATCTATCTATCTATCTATCTATCTATCTATCTATCTATCTATCTATCTATCTATCTATCAGATTATCTATCTATCTATCTATCTCTATCTATAGATGATAGATATCATATCATCTATCTATCTATCTATCTGTCTATCTATCTATCTATCTATCTATCTATCTATCTATCTATAGACAGATAGATAATCCATCTGTTCATCTAATCTATCTATCTATCTATAGATCTAGACTATGCACATAACTATCTATCTATCTATCTATCTATCTATCTATCTATCTATCTATCTATCTATTCATCTATCTATCTAACAGATTGTCTCTCTAACAGTGTCTGTCTGTCTATCTATCTATCTATCTATCTATCTATCTATCTATAGATAGATAGATAGATATCCATCTGTTCATAACTATCTATCTATCTCACTCTATGCACATCTATCTATCTATCTATCTATCTATCTATCTATCTATCTATCTATCTATCTATCTAACAGATTGTTTCTCTAACAGTGTCTGTCTGTCTATCTATATATATAGATAGATAGATATCCATCTGTGCATATCTATCTATCTATCTATCTATCTATCTATCTATCTATCTATCTATCTCACTCTGTGCACATCTATCTATCTATCTATATCTGTCTATATTTCTGAAATGAGGTATTATGTACACTATTTACATTATTCGAACTATTGTCCTCATCTTTGTTGCCACATTTATCACAACGTTTCGGCTGTTGTACGCTCCGGCTTTCTTCAGGTGGTTGGAATATCGAACTGAACCCTTTATTGTTCTAGTTCCACATGCCATGTCTAAAAGATGTCAGTTATCAGTTATCTCCTGTTAATTCCCCTCTCCAAGTTCTCCACAACCTTAACCAGGTATTGAACGCACACACTTTGGGTTCTCTCACTAGATCTAACTAACACATTTATCCAGTGTGCCATCTGTCCTTGAGGAGGCAAAATTCCTACGGCAAATATTATTCCCGTAAACATTACATGAAAATCTTTGTATAAATGAAAATGAAATTTCGTCTTTAACTAATTTCTGGAAAACTCTTTTCTTTTAACGCATCGAAAAGCATTCCTTATAGGTTTAAGATAAACGTTTTTTATTTTTATATTCCAGATTGACTTCAGTTCAGTCAAAAACATCACATTTAGAAGATCAATATTATATATTCTTAGATTAAACAAAACTGAAGGTTTTCCCGATCGACAGATATTTGAAGAAGGCTGAAGAACGAAACGTCGTGATAATAACAACAAAAATAGGATATTTCTCCGAATGTGAACAATGTAAATAATGATAATTCCTCATCCCAGAAATTGAGGCAGAAATTATATTCTATTGGCTAAAATTCGCTGTCATGTTTGCTTTCCCAGAAGTACAATAGCATTTTATGGGAACAACTTCTGTAGTCTGAGAGTATGATTTTATTTTAGACATTTTATTTAGGGAATTACAGAGAGTGAAAGTGAGAGAAAAGACAGGATAGAAGCGGGGGTGAACGGGGATCAAGGCAACAGAAGATGGCGATTAACGTTCCGTATAATGTTTTGAAGATTGTAGTTATCAGGAAAGCAAGTAAGAGGAAGGGAGTTCCACTGTCGGGAAGAGTAAGAAAAGAAACTGTCAGAGTAGAAGTGGCGGTTACATTTAACTATTTCAACAGTAAATGGGTGGGACCTAGTCGCCAACCTAGTAGCACGTTTAAATTCATGTAGCTGGAGCACCAGGGAAAAAGTTGGTCAGAGGAGTTGCCATGAAAATATTTGCAGAAAAGACAGACGGAAGCCACATCACGTTTATCATTAACTAGCAGCATGGCCCGGCGTTGCCCGTGCTTGATTAAAAAATCGTACGACTCATACAGCAATCGCTATCACTTGACTTAAAATATTTTTGCCCTTCATTGCCTTTAAAGGAGTGCCCCTTGCCGTGCTGATGTTGCTACATGCCTTACTTCTTGCCTATCTCACACTGCGAATTTTTTCTAAGCTCTATACTAAACATTAAATCTGTTACGAATAAAGAACTAAACAAAATGAGCACAAAACGATCAGCTTTAAAAAAGGACTCGTAACTGGAAAAACCGAATGAAAAAAGAATGTTAACAACAAATACTTTTTCACACCCAACCCAGTTCTGCGGAATCAGAATCAACGTTGAGTTTAAGTAAGCGAATGAGCCAATTGGAGTAAAGTGCCATGCAGATTTAAATTTTTCCCACTTGTAACGAATGCAGCTGTCGATTTTTTTGCATCCTAGCATGCTAGTTAAAATTCGTGTCAGTCAGCTATTGGCTCACACGCTGGCCAATAGAATCTTCCTGCCTATTCGTGGCAGCCAGCTATAGGCTCTCACTCTGGCCAGTACAAAATGGCCGCAAACTACATGAAACCTGTCGTAGAAGCACAAAAAATCGATTATTTCTACTATCGATGGAAGTTGGGACATGCAGGGTCGGTCTTAGCCTTTCCGCTTAGAGCATGTAAATTTTGGTGCAAATCCGTCGAAAATTGCGGCCGTGCATTCGTTACATAGACACACACAAACAAACACACACACACACACATCCTGCCTTTTATAGATAGAGATAAAAAGAATAAAGAACGTAGGATGAATGAGTGTTGTGAAATTAGTGGGCATCAGATAAATTTTACGATTTTCATGGACCTACCTGAGAGAAAGGACCTGATAACTGCGTAGACTCTCCCAGATATGACATAATTGGATATTTTACGTAGCAATCCTCTATGCCGCACCTTGTCAAAAACCTTTGAGATATCTTTGAGATACCGTGACCAAACTACAATCGATTGCTTCATTGATTCTATGCATAAAACATTAAGAGCAGATCTAGAAGGAGGAAATCTATACTATTTGTTGTTCAGGAGGTTGTTTCTGCAAAAGTGAGCAATTACATATCTGTTGATAATAGCTTCAATGTTTTGCAGTTGATTCTAACGAGACTGGCAGGAGGATATTGCAAAGCGGGTGAATGCTCACCAGCATTCTTGAAAACATGTCATAACGTAGACATTTTCGATAGACTTAGGGAATATTTTCTTTCAGACAGCGATTAAACCACTTTGCGAAGATTTGAAATAGATCTGGACTGAGGTTCTTAAGAATAGCAGGGAGTTTTCCCGGACGAGTAACCTTCGTAGAGTCAAAGTTTTTGATGAGTCTGGAAATTTCCCGATCAGAGAGAGCGTTATCACAAAGCTTGTGAAGGAAATCAGATAGTCTATTACCTTGGTCATCTAGCATAAAATTTGAGGCAAAATGCACTTATTCGACAGAGAAAAGATAACCTCAAATCCATTTATAAATTTTAGGCAGAGACAGTTTGCGTTTATTAAGAATAGTTAGATTTCCAGAACTCGTGGGAACTAAATCTGTCGTTTTCAAATTTAACTTTTACAAACAGTATATGGTTAGTTTTAGAATTCTCCTAAAATTTTTGGCGACTTTTGTAGGCAGTTTTGAAAAAAGAATGCTTTCTGTCATTTTTAAAACAATATATATATTACTAAGTTTAAAGAAAGTCTCGCGTTCATTATCATTGACGGCCGTATGTAAAATCATATCATCCTTCACACGATATGAATATCCTGCCATTGTTAAATGGAACACTTCTCAGTTAAACTCACTACTACATACGTTAAATGTTGAAGACAGACGAATCACAGATGTAACCTTGTCTGCATAGCAACACAGCGCCATCTATCGTAAGCTTTGCTTAAACTTAACTCAAAAACGAAGGATTTGCGGAGATATGTTTATATGGACTTTTGTCCTTGTTTTGTTGTTCTGAACCCGCCCCAAATATTCATAAAATTATTTTTGACTTTCTCTGTATAGGTATAATAAAGCTGGAAGAAAGGTGAAACTTTTTTACGCAGTTTTTAGTTTCGAGTTAATATCTTAGATTATTTATTGTAGTGATATTGACTTTGTTTATTTAATCTATTTTTCTATCCCATAATCCCAATTTGCCTTATATATAGAGCCCTCACAAACAGGATTAACACATGGTCTGACAATCGCATAAGCAGTGTTACTTTCTCCTCTCTTCTTCTTCTATGCGTCATGTCGCTTCAGGATGTGGGCGATCGAAG